TCATTTTACATTCTGTTTTTTATCTACATAATAATTTAAAAAGTGCCTATGAAAAAAAGATAATTTTTTTGTTATAATTTTTATTCGGCTTATTTCCATTAAAGTACATTATTAAAAAAAGAGGAAAAAAGTTGAGGTAAATATTTTACCTGCACTTGCATTCGGGCTCTTCAGTCCTAACCACTTGAAATTTGTGATAAATCCGTTCCCAAAGAAAAATAAATCATTTTAATGATAAGTGATAAAGCTGCAGACACATACAGTAAAGGATTAAATCAACAATGATATGGATGCAACCCAAAGGAAGAAAAAAAAAACGAGGAAAAAATTTAAGTTATTTCAATTAATTGATTTATAGAACAAAAAAATTAAAAAGTGATTTAAGTCGATCAAAATATCTATAAAAAATATATGCATTTCTTTTTTGAAGAAAATCAGATCTTTAGATTTCAATCTTCATTTACTGTCTTTGATATTAGTTCCACAGAATTTTAATCGTTACATTTATTTAATATGGCAAATTTTTTAAATTATTTTTTTAATTTTACTTAAAATTAACCAAACAGTATATTATTTGACTTCTCTACAAAACACTTTTTTTCTTCCTTCACATTTTCTTACTTTTTGTCGTTTAATTAATTCAAAGTGCAGGTTTTTAACCAATTTATAATGTCATTGTCAACAATGTAATTAAATGAATGTCATCAAATTTTGACCGAGTTCATAGTATAAAGCTAAATTAACTGAATATGTGCAAAGTGTTTTAATGTGCAAAATTTTAATGTACAAAAATGTTTTTATAAGTATTAATTTTATGGCCGAAAGTTATTTATGATTGCTCTATTTGCATCAATTAGTTAACACCATCAATCTCGTAAAAATACAATAGAGCAGTGCAAAAAAAAACCGGAATTTCGAACATTAATTAAAAAAATTTTTATAATTTGATTGAGACACATACTATATCGTAGCGTGACCAAGCCGAAGGAATTTCATAGCGCGAAACTGGTTTCTCTATCAAAATGTGTGATTTGACGATCGGTTTGAACGATTGGTTTTATTGTGATTTGTTTGTTTGTTTGTTTTTGAGAGGGAGTAAGGTTTGGATGGAGGTATTGTGTTATTTGGGGAGAGAGCGGAGATTGATGCAATTTTAAACTTTAATAATTAGTGATTGAGAGGGTGGCAGAAAGAGTGCATTAATGTGCAAGCAGCAGACTGTTAACAGTGTTTGTTTATTCCTTTTATGGATGTGTTGAACATGGAAGTGTTAATATTGAACATTGGAAATGTTAATATTGAAATGTGTGAAGAATGGAGAGATGATAGAGCGGATAATATCATTAGAGTATGTTTGGGTTGGAGAATGGAAAGATTTTATGAGTGGTAGAGGAATGAGAGATGTAATTTTGTTCTGAAATGAAAATCAAATGCTATTTTTTATTTATTATTTTTTATCTATTTATTATCGTTTATATTTTTGTTAGTTATACTTTTCGCCTTCTTATTATCGGTCATATTCTGTTTGTTATCGATTATATTGCTTTTTTCCTTCCCTCCCTCTCCATCTCTCTCAATTTGTTCTTTTTTGGAAATCTGCATGGTTTATCCTGGTTTTTATTGATATTTTTCGACTGTTGATCTAGGTTTTAGGTATGAGCTTGGATAATTGATGTTACAAACTTTCTCGAAATTTATAATTAAACTCTTATTAAAATTTTGTGGAATTATTATCTCAAATGGAAACACATTATAGATAAGATGCGAGATAATAACGTTGAAAGCAGTACCGAATCACCGACAAACAATTCAGCGTATGATATGGATACATTTTACGAGATGAAACAACGTTTGTTAGCAGAACGTACAGAAATGAAAGCTATCGAAATGCTGCAGATGCTGCTTTCTCATAATGTGGAGCATATTGACTGGTACATTTATGGAACTCATTTTCTTATATAAAATTTTATAACAAATTTTGTTTTTACATAAAATTTTTATAGAGAATGAAATCTTGTATTTTTGATATCCCTACTTTTGCGAGGGAAACAAAAATTTACACTTTTTGTTCATGTGAATAGACTGCAGAGTGAATTAACTGTTGTTATGGCTGATGACAATACTACTCATAGAATTATTGCAGTATATGAGTACTGCTCACATTATTGTAAATATCTGTAAAAATTTCACAGTGTTTGCCTGTTAGTAAAGTTGGGCGAAAAAAGTGCTACTAGTCATCACAGATATTAAGACTACTGTTAAATGCTTTACTCCTAGTTGCAGGTAATCCGCATAATTTCCTATCTATAACACAAATATTACCATAATATCCTACATTTAATTTTAAGATATTGAAAGTATTTTCAGGGATGCATTTCCAGATTTGAAGGATTTAATCATTTGTATTCTTGATACTATCGGTATAGTTTCCTTAACTGAAAAACACCAAATTTTGGTCTTGAATGGAATTAACAATAGCCATCCAAAAGTTGTTGACGTGCTTGTCGATTATTATATACGGCATATCGATGAAGTCTATGAAATGCTTGCCAATTCACATATAGCTGTAACGATTGCATTTGCACGCCGAGTTTGTGATTTCGATTGTGCTGGATCGATAGCTGTTGTATGTTTTCGCCTGTGCTTCTCTAGAAAACAAATTTGGAAAGTTTTTTGTTTTAAAACCGTTCAATGTGTGGATTGTAAAAACATCACTTGCATATTATAGGATTTACTAGAATTTTGTTCAATATTTACCGCATAATATTTACCGCATTGTACAAGTCAGAGAATACAAGCGGGACACAATAGGAAGTGTCTAGGCTCGTTTCATATTTCATGGCTATTCAACATATATTTGTGTTTTGGTACGTTGGTGTTAATGCGCCTGATGATTCGTTTATGCAGAGCGCAGTTTTGCTTATGATAGGACATTCTGAACGATCGTGTACTAGACAGTTTAGTAATATTAAAATTATGTTTTCAAGTCAGCTAGAGCCATTCTAAAAGTTAGTAATAAAACGGCTTTAGCTGACTTGAGTGACTTGGAAACAGTGATATATGTGGTTTAAGTAAACAGCTCACAATGTTAACCAGTTTAATCCAACATATTGACAGTTTCTTTATAAATCTTTTACACAAATTTTTTAGCTGTTGACACGCTTTGCATCACTAAAATTGGTGCAAGATGAGTTACTAAATCAGCTGAATTCAAATCGCGCTGAAGTTCGATTTCGAGTACATCAGGTTCATTTTTCTGCAGCATTAAAATCATCTGTTTTTATTTTTGATGTCCACTGTCACTTAATTTGCAAAAAATGACTTCTCTTAAATCGTGAGAAATGTCAATCGTTAACAGTATAGTCATATTGTGAACAATCACACTATTTATATGACGATGATCGTTCTCGGGAATTAATTTTGTTCTATGATCAGCAATAAAACCACAGAGGGCAGTAAACTTTGGGAAACTAAATACACAATGAGATATCAGTTGTACATGTTAACCTAAGTACAAATCTCAAGCCTTTTGTTTTCGAATTTCAATGTTTTAATTCCACTTACATTCAGATAACAACTTTGGTGATGAAGAAAGAAGATGATTTGCAAAAAATCGGAGATTTAATCAATCGGTTAGCTGAAGAGCTTGAATCTACTGATATTTTAATCCAGATCAATGCTGTCGAGATGTTTGCTGATGGTGCTTCGCAGTTAGTTTTTTGCTTATTAAGAGGAAATGTACATTTTGCATCTCTTCGATTTATTGCCTGTGATTGAAGAATTTTTTGTTTTTCTGTTATCCAAATTATCAAGACTTTCGCTTAAATGATTTTTGGCATCTCACGATATGTTCGGATTAAGATTTCACATAATCTGTTTTTTGCTTACCAGACCACGCATTTTTTAGTTTGTTGATGTGTAGATTTAACTCGATATTTCCCTCATTGAAAAAGGTTAATATATGATTAATTCATTTTTTCAATAAGCCTTCATTTCCAGTTTCGTAATAAAGTGCTTAGGTTGGATAAACTCTAAATCAGCAGAACTTATCATCAATATATGTCAAGAAACTGCTCTATTTTAGTTTGTTAAATGATCTTTTGCTTTAGAAAACCATCCACTGCGAAGTATTTGTTATCGACAGGAATCGTTGATCATCTCAACAGATTGTTTATTCAATGCATGGAGCAGCCAGATGCAGGTTTTCTCTATCCCGGTATGCGCAATACGTTTTTGATAGTAGTACTATATTTTACCCTAGGACTTGTCGATCCTAAAATTTCAAATTGACATGTGAATTATTAAGAGAATGGAAATAGATTCAGCGGGAGCTTAAAAATATGAAAGTGTTCTAATTTTAATCGATCTTTTGTGCAGTTATCATCAAATTATCTTTTTTGCAGCTCTTATCAAGTTTTTTGGACATCTTTCTGTGGCTGATGTGGAATGTTTGTCTCAATATCCGAAATTTTTGGATTCATTATTTGATTTGATTTATCACTTTGACCGATTGGACGCTTCATTACGTCTTATTGCTTTTGATACACTTGGTGCTGTGGGATCAACCGATCGTGCTAAGAAATTCCTGGACAGACAGCACAATAATTGTAGTAAAATTTTGTCAATTTGTTTGGTTGTGAATCCATGGATTTAGAACTGTATTTCTTATGAAATTTTTTTATTATTTAGAAATTGAGCATTAAAGTTTTGCAGTACTATTAATCAGAAAGATGGATGGTGGGTTCCTGGCAAAATATATCAGATTTTTGAAAGTATAGCTTGAATCCTTTTTATGTGAATAACAGGTATTCTGTTTCTAGCACAGTGTGATATGAAGAGAGCAATGAATGCATTTGGTGTGGCTATTGCAAGTGGACCAATAGATTTGCGAGTACGACATATTAATGCTTTGTCGATGATGTTGGAGGTCAAAGATGAACTTGAGGTAATGATACACTTATTTCTCGGGATATTAATATTCGAATTTGAATTTTAACGCAAAATGTTGGATGCGGAAGTCGAATTTTCTTGTTTGAATTCAATATTTACATGACTTTTTTTGTGGAAATTTCATTGTTAGCTGTTATACTTATTAATTTTTATGTAATAAAAGCGTTGAAAATATTAATTGTTAATGAAATGGTTTGAGAATTTCTAGAATCCATTTAATTTTTCAATGTATGCAACGTTCGGAAATTAATCAGTCTTAAGGATTGTCAAGTTATATCATTAGAAATTATTAGCTTTCATGACAAATGAATTTCATAAAAGATGAGGAATTGAAAAAGTGGCACTTTATCCTACGATTTCTGTGTTTATCTGACGTCATGTATATTTTGTTGATATAGTGTAGAAAAAATCTAGTTAATTAATGAAAATGCAAATTCATGAAGTTCATTTTAGAAAGTGTGTTCAGTGCTTCAAAAGAATATTTGTATTTGCAGGATGCTGATGCAGATACTGTCGCGCAGAAATGGTTCAATTGGCTTGGTGAGGCATTTCCATCAGTTATAATTTCATATCTAAATAAACCATTTAATGATGTTCGAATATCGTCATTACGATTGCTTTTGGCACTTTTCGATCATAAATGGGCAATTCGCATATTCTGTCTCGCTTCCGGGTTTGTATTTTATCAACCTTGAATTGATATCACTACAGACTGGTGTGGTAGTTCATGGCCGCCATTTAGCTTGACTGTATTTGTTGGGTATTTACTTCTCAACGAAATCCAAAATAGTCCAGAACATTGTAATGATATTGTAGAGTCATTTATTTAAATCAAGATTACCGTAGTGATATAAAGAGCATCTGTATTAGAAAAAATATTGTCAATGATTGGCGAAGCATCTCAGAGTTGTTGATAATATTAAGGTAATATCTAGAATATCAGAACGATAGTATGAGAGATTTAATTAGTCTCACTTAGTATCAGAAATTCAGTGCTTCACTTTGTGTAAATATTTTAAATTCTGAGACCATGAAAACAGGAATTGTTAAGGTATATTTTATAATGGCATATTTTACAGCTTTCTGGTATCTATCTTAAATCGAAATACTGAAAGGAATGCCGAGGGTAAGCAATGTAAATATGATGTCATTTGCAAACTTATCGATAGCGCTGATTCGATGATTTCACCGGAAGATATGATCAGGCTAAAGTTGTACCGTCGTGAGGGAGCATTTTATGTTGAAAGGAGTCCACAGATTGATATGGAAAATGATTGACTTCAAAGAATGATTAATTTAATTTCAAAGGCTGCATATTTTTATTTTTTCTAGCAACACTGCGATATGATGAGTTGTAGCTTTATCGTTTATATTCTTTACTCTTATTTTTCATTGTAAATTGCTACTAGTTTTTGTTACAGAAATCTTTTAAGCGTATAATTTTAACTAACTCTAATTTTGTTTTGACTTGTTGGTCGTGCTGATTGTTGTACCTACTCATACTTTAATAATTCTTTTTTCTATGAAGTGATGCTCAATAATGATTGATTGTTTTCTATGTTTAAATTATTTTAAATCATCATGAAAACTTTACTGTGTTCTAATGCATCCCTGAAAGCACAATATGAATCTAAAACAGCTCCTGGATTGCGGAAAATTCTTTGAAATTTCCAATTAACCTTGAGGATTCTAAGATATATCTCACATACCTCTGCAATTCCAGTCCCATACCTTGTATCAAAGGCAATCTTTTTTTTGTATGCATTTAAACAGTTGTTTTTCTTTTTCTTTCAAACATTTTGTTATTTTAATTTATTTTCTATGCGTAAGGTCAGGAAGAGTTGGAACAATAACTATTGTAATAATAAATTATTTCGAGACAGTACTTGTTCCATGCTTCAAAATGACAAAGAATATTTTTCCTGTAGGTGTATAATTATCTATTATCTTTAATTTCCAAGCAATCTCGGGATTCGAACATTAGGTGTGTGAATTTTATATAAAGAGCTTATTTGGCTTTTATTACGGTTGCGGAGCTCTTTTTATTTTTGTTAACAAGGAGATGAGGAACACGCTTATTGATAAGTTATTAATTAAACTTGATTTGGACGATGCACCTTTTCAAGTAATGCCTTTTGAATTGCTGTGACGAAACTATCGTTTAGTGGTGAAGTTTTTTTTTTTTTTTTTTTGCTTATAAAGCAATGAGCTGAAGCAATTATTATCCTTTTGAATGATATAATTTTCTTGATCATGTTAGAAGATATGGTATATAATAGATTGGAAAGATTATAGGCAAGTTCATTTTTATCCTCCTAATCAGTAATTGATATGAAACAGCTTATGCGTAGCATATTAACAGAAATTATGCTAAGTAGAAGGGATGAATGAATTTCAGTTGAGAGGATGAAAATTAGTATTTTCTTTTCAGTTTTAAAATGCAATCGATTTTTTCTGTTTGTTCGGCGAATAAACGGTGTTAGATGAAATGTCAACAAATACTCTATCGTTAAATGTTGATGATAGTGGTTGTAATAGTGGTATATGATGGTGTGGTGGTAGTTATTATTGTTGTTGTTGTTGTTGGTATTAGTTAGTGGATGGTGGTGATGTTTGGTTTTGGTTAGCAACGGCAATATTCTATTAGTATTAAATAGACAATTATGGTTAGATAGATAGATAGATAGATAGATAGATAGTGATGATAGAAGATAGATGAGAGGATATTTATATGGGGCGGTAATTAAATGAAGCACTTCAGCAGCCAACTAAAGCAACTAATCAATTAGTATAGTTTAATCCTCTTATTTGTTCAGCAATAAAGCATAGATGAAGAGGATAGTAGTTTTAAAGAAGAGAATGGAAGAGAGAGAAAAAGGGTATAATAGATGTAGTAGTAATATTAGTAATAGTAGTGGTAGTTGTTGTTGTTGTTTGGAACTCTCCTACATCAAATTCACAATTCCATCCCTACCTTATTGATTTGCTAGGCATTTGTTTGTTGTGTATGCTCTCTGATTGAGAAACAACATTTATAATGTTGTTTACTTGCCATGTAGTTGTTAAACGGGATAGAAATGGTTGTGCGTTTGATGATAAAGGTAGTTTTGTTCCGTTTATTCATTATCAATTAATTTTCTCAATGTCTTATAGTGTGTTATAGTGTTACTATTTTAATTATTTAAAAATTTTTGAATTTATAAAATTTAACAAGTATAGAGATAATAGATATTTAAAAAAAGGTAGGATATTTGTTTCGAAGAAGTCTGTGAGCATTATGTAAGGCAACAGGCTAAAATAGCTTGATGATCATTAGATATATTAAGCTAATCAGTATACTGATAATTTTTTGCTAAAAATTGATAGAAAGGTTATGTTTGACTTCATATGGAGCATTATGAAATAATTGGGAAGTTATTATGATGATTTGTTAATTTTATCAATCGTTACTGAGATTATTATTCGATGTTACGAGATCAATGTTTCGTTTGTATATGTTTTTTTTTTCTAAATTATTATTAACCGAATTTTATGGTGTTTTCGATGTCCAGTTCAATGTTGTGAAATGAAAAGATGAGCGACATCAGTGGTGCGAGTATCGTTGGATCTAAAGAGATCAAGCAAGAGGAAATGGAAGAGAGATCGAAAGCAGAAAGAAGATTAACCTTAAAGAGAGCAATTGATGAAGTAGCCGGACAAATTAATTGTGACGAGCAGCTTAAACGTTGGTTTATTATGTTATAAATTACATGAAAAAAAAAATCATGTATATTACTGACTTGAATGGATTATGAATGGATGAACGCTTTTTTCAGGTTGTAAAATTAAAGTTGAAGATGGTAATGAAGAAGATTTATCCGAAATATGTGCTAATGGTGTGCTTCTCGCTATGGAACCGTCTACAAGTCATTCTGTAACAGTGAATTGCGAGGTATGGATTACAGTTTTATCATTGTATCTATGTATTTATTTGCATAATTCGCATATTTGTTTCGTTTGATATATGAAACGAATGTTTAAGCGAAATACTTTAGGAATTGTAAGCAGTTTTTATGAAGTTGTAGCCAATCTGATTGACAAGTATATTGTAGTTTTTTAAACTGTTCATGCACTTTTGGGAAATGGCCAGAGAGACAGATGTAATAGCATTCCAGTAAGTATATATCGTTGCATTATTAACTGAATAAATCGAAAAATTGCTAGTACATTTCATAATATGGTTGAAAAGAAGAAATTTCGAGAAGTGGTGTAGAAATCGATTGTAGTATTTCAGAGGAATATCGTTTTTTTTTTTTTAGGATGGTAACATTTTAACAGATTTCGGTGAAAGAATTTCAACGTCCACCAAGTCTACTAATTTACGGCATGTGCTTGTTTTTAAAGGTTATCGTTTCTTTGTTGAAATATTATTTTATCAATATTATGATTTTTCCTTTTTGACATGAGTAAAGATCTGGTATGATGTGGATTTTCTATCTTGTTCGACATTAATTTTAAATTCCCATTTTAAGCTCACAATAAGTAATAAGTAATATTACAGGTCCTGAAATGGAATGTTTCATAGATTTAGTTCGACGTAATGAAATACTGTGGGATGGTAGTTTTGAAGAATATCACACACGAACGAACAAAAAAAAGCAAGCCTGGGAGGGCATTGCATCAGAGATGTCAAATGGTTTAAAACAAGTTGATGGTATCAAATTTTTATATTAGTTGGAGGTTTTTCAATTCTTAATAGATTCTAATAGTAATATGCTCTCTGTTATTTTATCGTTTTTCCCCGTTATTGCTCTGTATAATGTTCAGATGGTACACCAACATCAAATCAGTTGATTGTTATCTATTTTAAAAATTGCCAAATTGAGCTGAAAAAATTGAATAAATACAATCGATGATGTGTAAAATAAATCATTTGAGGTTGTAATGCGCTATTCTAATTTGGCAATTTTAGGGACCTGCTTTTTTCCCCCAACTTTTATATAATCATGCGTTACGGATCAGCTTATTGTAGAAGAAACATGCCGAAAAATATGGCTTCAGTTGCGGCGTTCCTATGCCAATGAAAAACGACAGCAAAAACAGAATCCTGGTGCAAGGACAACACGAAATTGTAAATATCGACGATATTTCGATGCAATGAAATTTCTGGATGGCGTTATGGAAGAGGAATTTGCTCGGTATGTTTTCTATACCAATGTTGCAGAGACTATATGTTATGGCTGAATGTTAAAAAGTTTCAAATTTTTATTGTAAGAGATCCGAGAAATAGTTAAGGCATAGTTGTATAATAAAACATTGAGTGTCATGGAAGTTTTCTTTCGAGGGTGATTTGAACATCTTAATACTTTGTATACATTTTTTTTTTCATTGACACTATTTTTAAATATTTCTCTAAGAAAAATATAGTTTTTAATCATGATATTTCTTTTTAAGATAGTTTAAATGTCATGCATATTCAAGTTTTTCTCATTTTAAAATACTTAAGTACTTCTTAGATGAATATTTGGTAGTGAGCTCAAATATTTAGTCAGTTTTGACTACTATAGTTTAAGATCGAAAATTTTCACAAATTTTTTCTTTTTTCAGGCATAAAAGCTCTTTAGGTGATAACGTAATAATTTGCATGAGCTGTGAGTGGACATCTTTGGGATTCGGGATTTCTGTTTCAGAGTTTTCGACTGATTTTGAGTTTTTCATTATAAATTGCAAAAAAAAAAACAAAGATGGAATTTTTGATGCAGTTGTTGATCTCTTTTAAATATATTTTCCTTGTTTTCAGTGACAGTTTTTTTATATCAGAACCTGAAGGTGGAAAGTCATGTAGTAACAGCCCTGCTCCGGAGATCGGAGTTTCCAGGAAAGACATTATTGACAATATTCGGAAATCTGGAGGTAGTTTATTTATTACCGCACGGTATTTTTCGTTAAGTGTCATTATAAATTACTGCTGCATACCGATTTATCTATATGCAAGAGCAGGTTCAGGAAGTTAATAAACTTCAGTAGTCCCTTTTTTCGCTTTTTGGTTAGCTATTTCATACGGTTTTTTTTAGATGTCCGTAAGGAAATTTCAGTGGAAAATGACATGAATACTTCAAAAGTGATTGATACTATTGCTTTACTTGCGCACCAATTGCAAGATCAAGGAAGTGAACCACCAGTTGAGGTGGCACAACCAATGCAGCTGTTGCAACTAGCGCAACCATTAAAACCACCAAACACAAAAGATTCCTCCGCCGTAAGCGGAGCTGCACCTACGGAACAACAGTTTTATCAGCAGCTGCAAACCTGCTTTTTTATGCTAACACCCGAAAAGCAGACGATTTTACAGCGCGATATCATGAAATTTGCATTCAGGCGGACAAATCAATTGATGGATGATGCTGGTTTCTAGTACGCTAGCATCATTATCATTATTTTAAAGTTTAATCCGAAATTGACTATGAATTTAGTCTAACAATTTTTACTTTCATTTATGACTTTTGTAGATTCATTCCCATTATGGTATTTAGCTCTTTTTTTAACAGTTTATAGCTTCATGTTCATAGAAGCATTTAAAAAATTCGTCAATTTATAACTTCAATGCCAGCATCATTATATATAACCTCTCTCATATGCTTCATATTTGCGCAGGAAACGCGACTGTATTTTGTTAGTTCTCTGTTGGATCAATATTCCCTTATATTTACGGATGTTAATATTTCCTTATATTTACTCGATTTAAAAAAAAAAAAGATTACTTTCTCTAATACGAATGATGATTATATACATAGAAATGATAATTATTAGAGGAAAATGAAAAGAAAAATTCGGTATTCGAAGGATTTTTGATGTTTTTTTTTTACTTTGTTTCAATATATAATACTTCTTTGTGATTGTTTTCATCATTTCCTGTGAATGTTAACGATCATTATTTTATCTGAACAATGAAAATGTATGATGTCATTATGGTAAAAACATTTTCATATAAATTTTAACACAGCTAACCAAAACCATTAAAATACCAACAGAAATTGAATCATTACAGGTTAAAAATGATAAAGGATAGGGTTGCACAATCTGAAAAATCCAATATAATGCAAAATGATATTACTGTAGTTCTGGATTTTCTCTGTCCATCTCTCTCTCTCTCTCTCTCTCTCTCTCTCTCTA